GATTTGCACCGTATCAAACTGAGTACAGGTGACTGTTCGAAGGCATTTATGTCCAGCCAGCGATTTATGTCAAACTCAGTCCAGCCATGACCATTCTGCGGTCGATGTGGTGAAACGGGTGGCATTAAATGGCTTTACCTTCTGCTGTATTTGTTGCCCAAAAACCATTCGAACAATCATGTATAACTATACCCCTAGAATCAGAATCCTGATGGATTATTGAAAACGATAATAAAAATTAATTGAATTTTTCACTCTCCTTGTCCATGAGTAATCATTTTTCGTTCAGAAGGCGCATGAGGTGGTGTAAAATTCAGTGTTGTGCCTTCCTTCGGAGACTAATGCAAAGGCTGCTTACTGTCCCAGTCCTTTCATGTGATTTGCAACAGTTTCTCCTCCCTAAACTCTGACATGGTTTATCAGAACATGGTTTCAGATTTCTCGTAGTCGTAGCCGCTCTCCATAGTGTTTTACCATGGCTCGTGATCCGGTACTCTTGTTTACGCTATCGAAAGGACTGTACACCTTGATTTAGGTATTTACCCTAAAGCTATGGTTTCCGTTTCTGAGCGACTGAGTTCGAGTTTTTGGTTTAGGGATTTGCAGAGGTCACCGAATGGGTTCTTAACTGACGAACTACTTTTTGTCCTAGTAAGTTTCTACTACTAAGTTTTAAGTTTTCTCTTTAACCCAACCGTTTCTAACGGTTTTCTTTCGCTGGCACTTAAGCACCAACGAGAACTACATTTCGACATTTCGTTTTACACCCTTCGCTCCGATCCGGTTAATGACCTCCTCGGCGCGTGCGCTCGAGATGCAGCACTCCCTCACAGTCGGAGCTTATGAAGATAAGATAAGTTCTTATAAAAAGAAGGAAGAGAGGGCGTAAAAATTGGACGCGGTTCTCGGTTCTTTGTTGAGCATCGATGCGGTACTTCCGCCAGCTGAAATTACTGGTGTAGGATTCAGTCTTACTATTTCCGTTGAAATCCAATTAAAATCCGATTTACTTACTAATTCCATGCATTTGCTTTGTGGACAGCATGTACGCGACCTCAATATGAAGACGATGGCGGAGTGCTGAGTGTCAACAATCAACGCAAGCCTGTTAATTACGCTGTGGATTAAATCGAATGTTAACCTGGTAGAATATTACAGAGGCGCTAGGATGAGAATTATGAAATTAACAAAATTTTAAAAGACTGTATGCCCTTGTTTGCAGTAAAGAAACTTATAGCTAAAAAACAGAGTAACGGCTCTGTAATGGCAGGATTTACTAGTGATGGAAAATTGGAGGAAGAGACCCACCGGCGAATTGCAGTAGCCAGTGGCGTTCTGCGTGATCTAGCCCGACCCATTGTGACTAAAGCAGAGCTCAGTTTGAAAACTAAGATCTCAATGTTCAAGTTGATCTTTATCCCCATGCTCACTTACGGTCATGAGTCATGGACCATGAAAGAAAAGCTTCGAGCCAGGGTACAAACTGCTGAAATGGGCTTTCTGAGGCGAGTCGCTGGCCTTACGCGTCTCGACATTGCCCAAAATACAGT